CCAGTCCTAGGCAACCATCAATGTGTTTTAGTTTCTATAGATAAATGGATATTTCACCTGAATATAGTTACTGATGTTTTCCTGCCCTAAGCTTGCTGTCAGTGTTCATCCTAGTTAGTAGGGTGTGTTAATAATTCATTCCTTAAAAGGACTTAATCATACTTCATTGGATGAACATATACTACATATTATTTGTCCTTTCATCAGGAGATGAACATTTGATTTTTTTTTAACCATTATGAATACTGCTATTAATGAAAAATCATGTACACATTTTTGTATGGGTGTAATACCCAGAAATGGAATTGCTGGGTCATACTTTATCTCTGTTTGAGATTCTGAGGAGCTTCATAGTTCTCAAAAATCACTATATGTTTTACAGTCTCACTAACAATACATGAAGATTGTAATTTCTCCACATCCTCACCAACACCTGTTGTTTACTTTTTTTAAATGATGGTCATCATAGTGTGTGTGAAGTAGCAGCTCTTTGTACTATAGATTTACATTTATGACCCAATATTTGTTATGTAGAACAGATTTATTATTGTATTATTTTTAAAGTATAATAGTAGTAGTAGTTTGACTTTTACATTTTTGTTTCACCTCTAAAATTACTCTTAAATTTATTTTTAAGCTAGTTTTAGAAATTTTCACTTTTCTTAAATTTTTGTTTCAGACAGCACCCTCAGAAAAACAAGAACGATTAAATCAGACCATTAAAAAGGGAAAAGTCAAGAGTGTTGATCTACCTATCCAGAGTACCCTATGTAGACAGCTGGGCCAAGATCTTCTCAACAGCTACATTGAAAATGAGGTATATAAATCGGATTGAATTTTGAAACGTGGTGGTATATTCTGATATTTTATAGTCAGTAATTTCCAAATTCTGGGTAATAAGTGAAAAATACCTGAGGAATTATTAAGTAGATCATTCACTCGCATAATTTTTGACAAAATACTGAACTAGATTAATATCATTTACAATAATTTTATCTTATTTATATGAAAGATAATACTATATCCTCTAAAGAGAAGCACCTTTCTGAGACTTGGGATTCTTGCCCCCTTAAGTTCTGTCATTAGTAGAAACACTAGCACATGTCACATGGTGAAGTTATGAGCAACTCCATTTTTTAAAATGCATATCCTTTGAGATTAAGGTTCTAGTCATGTTTTCTGACTTTAGTTGAATAGATTTTAAAAATCTGTTTTCATTAACATTTTCTTACATGTTTAATACTAGTCTCTTGAGGTAACAAGTTTTATTTCTTCATCAGTAATTATATTAGAAGTAATTTATTTTATTTTTTTAGTGGTGGTTCCTAATTTCTTCAAGCTTGGCTGGCATTAAGAGGTCAGTCTCAAGAGTGCCTTCTATTTTACCACCAACTGTACGTTATTTTAACAAGAAATTTTGACTTTAAATACTTTTTTGTGTGTACTTACATCAAAAGTACATTTTGTGTGAAGTAAGCATTCTTTGAGGTCTTGTATTATGTCAGGAGGCTAATTTTCCCAAAGGAATGAATTGATTGGCAGGTATCATATATGACATTTTTCTTAGTTTTTAATTTTTATTTTAAATTATTTATGTCAGTGCATTGTAGTTTATAAAGAACTTTTATGTTTAAAATACCACATTTTTCCTAAAATGACAATTTTGTTTGTTATCTGTAGATTATTAGCTTTTGATTATAATACTTTTTGCTCACAACTTTAAATACTTTTAATATCTTATTATTCCTCAAAACAAATATATGAAGCATAGCTTTCCATTTTTTAGATGAGAAAACTCAGGCCAATCTATACTAAGCTGCCCAAGGTCAGAGAGTAACCTTTGGATTCAGAATCTCCAAATCTCAGCATCAGTCACTTAGTATCCCCTACTGAGACTCACATTTATTCAGTACCAGGCATTGTACTAAATATTTTACATAAATTACTCAGTCTTACTAAAATCACAGTAAGTTACAATTCCACACTTTATTTTAGGATCAGAAATTGGAGGTTAGGTGACTTTGTTGATCTCAAGCTGATAAACAGGGAAACTAGGGTGTGAACCTGAGTATATATAAATGACACAGTCGGTTTTATTCAGCAATTGTTTTAAAAAATATTTTTTTGTAGTTGGAGGTGGGGCCAATACTTTTATTTTCTTATCTTTATGTTGTGCTGAGGATTGAACCCAGGGCCTCACATGTGCTAGGCAAGCACTCTACACTGAGCTACAACTCCAGCCCCTTATGCCAACGATGTGATTCTATACTTAGAAGACCCAAAAAAATTCCACCAGAAAATTTCTACAACTAGTAAATAAATTCAGCAAAGTAGCAGGAATACAAAATCAGTCAACACCCATAAATCAAAAGCATTTCTGTATCAGTGACAAATCCTTTGAAAGGAAATGAAAACAACCCCATTTACAGTAGCCTCAAAAAACATAAAATACTTGTGAATCAACCTAATGAAAGAGGTGAAAGACCTCTATAACAAAAACTACAGAACTCTTTCAAAGAAATTAAAGAAGATCTTAGAAGATGGAAGATCTTCATTGTTCTTGAATAGGCAGCATTAATATTGTCAAAATGGCTATACTACCAAAAGCATTACTCAGATTAATGCAATCCCAATGACATTTCTCATAGAAATAGAAAAAGCAGTCATGAAATTCATTAAAAATTCAAGACCCAGAATAGCTAAAGCAATCCTTAGCAAGAAGAGTGAAGCAGGTGGCATCACTATACCAGACCTTAAACTGTATATACTATAGAGCAATAGTAACAAAACCAGTGTGGTATTGGCATCAAAGTAGACTGGTAGACGAGTGGTACAGAGTAGAAGACACAGAAACTAACCCACATAATTACTTTTATCTTAAATTAGACAAAGGCGCCAAAAACAAGCATTGGAGAAAAGATAGCCTCTTCAACGAATGATGCTGGGAAAACTGGAAATCTATATGCAACAAAATGAAGATACTCACATGGCACACAGTTCACACATTTTAAAAAGTATATAGTGATTTTTGCATATTACAATATGAAGTTTTAAAAATTATGCTTTAATATAGCATAAAATTTGCCATATTAACTGTTCTATTTATTTATTTTAGTTGTAGTTGGACACAATACCTTCATTTTATTTATTTTTATGTGGTGCTGAGGATCGAACCCAGGGCCACACATGTGTGAGGCGATTGCTCTACTGCTGAGCCACAACTCCATCCCGATATTAACTGTTTATAAATGTACAATTCAGTGTCATTAATTATATTCACAATGTTATATGAACATCACCACAATTTTCAAAAATTTTCATTGCCTCAAAACAGAAATTATGTAACCATTAAGGATTAACTCTCCCTTCTTCCCTTCTCCCATTCCCCAGTACTGCTTTCTCTATATCTGAATCTACCTGGTCTAATTAACTCATAGAGTACTTGTCCTTTTGTGTTTACCTATGTTGTTGTAGCATGTACCAGATGTTATTCTTTTTTCAAATACTTTTTAGTTGTAGATGGACACAGAATATATTTATTTTTATGTGGTGCTGAGGATTGAACCCAGTGACTCACACATTCAAGGCACATGCTTTACCACTGAGCTACAACCTCAGTCCCTATTTCATTCCTTTTTAAGATTGAATAATAATTCCATTGATTGTACATTCATTTCATTTATCCATGGATCTGTAAATGGACACTTGAATTGTTTTTATTTTTTTGGCTATTGTGAATAATTGTAATTAACAAATACTGTTTTGAGTCCCGGCTTTCATTTCCTTTGGGTATCTTTGGAGGAATAAAATTCTAATTCTGTGTTGTGTTTTTTATGGAACCTGTCAGTTTCCATGGTGGCTGCAGCATTTTACATTCCCACCATTAATGTGTGAGGGTTTCAGTTTCTCCACATGTTCATGAATACTTATTTTCAGTTTCTTAAAATATTTTCCTCTTAATAGGTATGAAGTGGTGCCATTATGGTTTTGATTTGCACTTCTCTAACGTATGTTCTTACGACAGTTAATCTGAAACTTTTTGAATAGGGGAAGATGATAATGCAGGATAAGTTAGAGAAAGAAAGAAACGATGCTAAGAATGCAGTCGAAGAATATGTATATGATTTTAGAGACAGACTGGGCACTGTCTACGAAAAATTCATCACTCCAGAAGTAAGTCTAAATTTCATAATCTTTGAGAGCTATTAAAATCTTACCTGAAAATGTCAGTATGAATTATATTGATAAGTGTACCAAATTTGTTATCAATCTTCCTGAGCCTTCGGGAATATAATTCTTTTCCAAATTAAAGCATGGTAAAAAACATGAGTCAGAAAAATCATAAATTTAACTGAAAAATATCCTGTCTTTCCTTGATGACTTTTTTTTTTTTAAATCAGGAAAGCATTTGTAATCGGTCTCTCTTAAATGTATAACTAGGACGTGAGTAAACTGTCTTCAATACTGGAGGACACAGAAAATTGGCTTTATGAAGAAGGAGAGGACCAACCTAAACAAGTTTATGTGGATAAGCTTCAAGAACTAAAGGTAAAGATTTTGAAGTTCCATATTAGGGTTGAATGAAATATTTGGTTCTTAAAAATTATGGTATAAAGGCAATGTACTTGTTTAGTTAAATTTATTTTTAATTGACAGGTAAAATTATATATATTTAATGGTGTACAACATGTTTATATGCATATGAATATATATATATATATATATCTTAGAATGGCTAAATCAAGAGACATGAAAAATTGTTCTAGTTGTGTATTATGAATTGAATTGTATTCTGTCAAATACAACATTGAATAAACTAAATTTAACTTAAAAAATGGAAAAAAGTAAAAAGAAACAGGTTGAATTAATATTAATCAGACTTGACAGATGCATTACTTAACATACTTTTTTTGTGATAACACTTAAAATCTACAGTTTTCAGATATATAATATTGTTATCAGCTGTGTTCTTCAGCTTATCTCTTATCTAATTGAAATATTGCATTCTTTCAACATCGTCTCCCCATTCGTCCCTCCATCCAATTGGTGATCACCATTTTACTATCTGCTTTGGAGTTGGACTTTATAATATAGACCCATGAGATCATGCAGTATTTGTCTTTTTTCCCTAACTTATTTTCACTTAGTGTAATGTCCTTTGGGTTAATTCAAGTTGTTCCAAGTGATTGGATCTCTCCCAGTACTGAGGATCTAACTGAGCTACATTCCCAGCCCTATTTTGTATTTTACTTAAGACAGGTTCTTGCTGAGTTGCTTAGCGCTTCTCTGTTGCTGAGGCTGTTTTTGAAATTGTGATACTCCTGCCTCAGCCTCCCAACCACTGGGATTACAGGTGTGGGCCACCATGCCTGGTTGGATTTCCTTCTTTTTAAGGCTGAACTGTATTACATTTCTTTGTCCATTCATGAATAGATTTTGTCCCTTTCCTTTTCTGAATAATGATGTAATCAATATGGGAATGCAGATAATCATTTCAATATGCTGATTTTATTTACTATGGAAATATAAGAAGTAACTAGTGCTGTGTAACTGAGATAATATATAATCATAATACTAAAATGTAAGTGTTTAAAAAGTGAACAGAATTAATCTTTTGCATCTATGTATTAGTGGAGTTGTCTTTTTAAGAAGTGATAGAATTATCAACTTGATCCCTTCCTGCTTATTGGAAGAATCACCCTTCACTTCTGTGATTTGGGGAGTAATAACACTCTGACCTGTTGTATTTCTGCAGTGTAGCTGATGGAAAAACCAAGCAGCCAAGATGTCAGAGATAGCACCTCTGCTCTTGAATGTCCTTTCAGAAAAAAAATTTAAACTTGGCCACCATGTCTGCCTTTCCTAAGTCATTGGTATGATTTTGAGGAAAGACCACTGTTGGCTTCTTTGTCCATGCTGGCTATGCTGTGCAACCCTTTCCCCATTCTAGAAAAAAAAATACCTCTAAGTTTTATTGGAAGGATGAAAGGAAATTTTAGTCATTTCTTGGAAGTGTGGATCTTTGAGTTACTCTGATGTGCATATGTACTACTTAGGCTATTATTGAAAAGCAGATTCTGATTTAGTAGATATGGGAGGGGCCCATATCTACTAAATCAGAATCCCATATTTATTAAAGAAGGCCCATATTTATTAAAGCCTCCAAGTGATGCTGGTGTTGCTGGTTTATGAACTACTCTTTGAGTAGCAGGAAATTACATATATGCTAGTGATGTGATTAATAAATAAGGATTTTAGAATTTGGAAATTACAGCCCTTTAAGCACTGGGGATAGTAGGGTAAGAAAACACAAAAGATGTTACTTCAAAGTAAAAGAAACTAATAATCATGCAAAAATTATTTTCATGCCAGTAAATTATTTCCAAAGGGAATAAGTAGCAACTAGAAAAATCTGTTTATATCAGCAGAATTAAGCATTATCATAGTTTATATTCTCAGTGATTTTTTTTTTTAACATGCCACATCCCTAAGGGAAATGTACATTAAATTTTTTTTTTTTTCAGTATTGGGGCGGAGCCCCCAGGCACTTTACCACGAAGCTACATCCTGGTCCTTTTACTTTTTGTTTTGAGACAGGGTCTCCCTAAGTGCTGAGGCTGGCCAACAACGTGCACTTCTCCAATCTCAACTCCTCTAGTGGCTGGGATTACAGGCATGTGCTGCAACGCCTGGCCCGTTTTTTTTTTTTTTTTTCTAATATTGGGAAAGCCAAGCAGCTGAGGCCAGTGGACATAATTGCAAATCTTAGCAGTACTTAACCTTGATTCTTTGCCTTAAGTATATTAAGAAGCCATAGAAATGAATGTTAACAGAATTTTTCACATTTCTGTGGTGGTAGTGGTTGTTGTTGTTGTGCTGGGCCTTGAACCCGGGCCTTGTGTATGTGAGGCAAGCACTCTACCAACTGAGCTATATTACCCAGTCCCTAGTTTTGTTTTTGAGGTGACCTTTAAAAAAGTGAAGTATCTGCTCCTCTTTGAAAATTAAATTCACTGAATGCATTATGATATCCTGGAACAGAGGTGAAATCTGGATAAAGACTGGGATTCTGTTCAATATTAACTTGTCAGTGTTGAATTTTTTTTTCAGATTTGACAAATGAACCATTAGATATTACATTAGAGGAAAGCAGTGATAATGGCTGGCTTTCTATTTTGTAACTTTTCTGTAAATCTGAAATTACTGTTAATCTATTCTCATTTTTATCTTAGTATATAAAAGAATTTAAGAGAAAATAGTTCTTTTTGTCCTTCATGTGCTTCCCTCTCAAAAGTTTGTGTAGGTGGTTTTAACATTGAGAAACAAATCGAAGCACTTAGAAGAGAAAGAAATTAGAGTATGCATTTTAATCTAATGATTTTATATATATGTAATATGCACACATATATAAAAGATAGCAGATATTAACTGTCAATAATCATGTTGCATATACAGTTATATGGTTATAGAGTTATATTAATTTTGAAACCAAGTTTAAAATCCATGAATTCTATATGTACTATAATATAGTCCTTATGGTTTCTTTCTCTAATAGTTTTGTAAAGTATTCTCACCTATCTTTGAAAAAAAAAAAAGTAAGTTTTGATTGGGACTTTGGATTTAAATAAGAATCAAGAGGTAATTGTATAAATGAGAAAGAAATAAGGCGCTTGTTAGGCATTCTTCCTTAACAATGAACAAAAGCCAGTGGAAGTACTTCTTTGTAGGGAAATAGAGGGAACATGTTTTAGTATAGCCATTATATTATTCCAAAGAGCCAAATAAATTTTATGTTAAAGCTCTTGTTCTTTTTAACATTTTTCTTTTATTAATAGAAGTATGGCCAGCCTATTCAAATGAGGTACATGGAACATGAAGAGAGACCAAAAGCTTTAAATGACTTGGGAAAAAAGATTCAACTTGTCATGAAAGTGATAGAAGCCTATAGAAACAAGGTATTGAATTCATAAGGACAATGTGAATTGATGGTGTGTGTGTGTGTGTGTACCTGGGAAAGGTGGGATCTGTCCAAAACTTCTCAGCCACAGAGCTGTAGTAGTTGTTGCTGTCCATTTCCAGGGACTTTTGTATAACCATACTTAAAACTTTTTTTTTTTTAATTGAAGACAGTTAATAGAGGATTCTGATATACTTAAATTAAATCATTGGCTTTTGTAGATTTTCCTCAAGCCACTATATACATTAATCCAGTGACCAAATTATTGTGGTTTTTTGTAATTGTCAGTGTATCTTTTATTTTATTTATTTATATGCGGTGCTGAGGAATTAACCCAGGGCCTCACACAGGCAGGCAAGCATTCTACCACTGAGCCACAACTCCTGCCCAAAACTTATTTTTTTCCCACAATTCAACAGGCCAGAAATACAACATCAAGGTGTCAGCAGGGCTTCTGACCCTCTGAAAACACTGGAAGACGATCTGTTCCTTGCCTCTTCCAGCTTCTGATGACTAGGTGTTCCTTAGCTTTTGGCTGCATCACTTCAATCATTTTGCATAGTCACATGGCCATGGGCTCTTCCTCTTTTTATTTTTATTTTTTTTAGTTGTAGATGGACACAGTTCCTTTATTTATTTATATGTGGTGCCAAGGATTGAACCCAGTTCCTCGTACATATAGGCAAGCACTCTACCACTGAGCCATAAACCTAACCCTGCAAATTGTTTTCTTTTTAAAAAAGATTTTCATTTTTATATTTTTCATACAGTGAAAAAGAGATTCTTTTGGAAACATTTTTTTCCCCTGTGGGATTATGAGAGACTGAACTCTCATAGTCTTTACGTTGTTCTTTGGCTGCTTTTTTTTTAGTTGCTTTTGGTCATTTTCACAGCTCATTAATCATCCTTGGTCCCCCATATATACCCTTTATTCTTTTTAGATACATACTAAATTTGTAATACTTGTAGGCCTGAGAGATGTATTCAAATGGACATATAATTTATGTAACTATAACAGAAAAATTTAACAAAATTAAACATACCATTTTCCTCCTCTAAACCAGTGGTTACCAGATTTTATCTTTGAGAAGAAAATTAATAAATATGAATCTTTGCAGTGTTTAATATATTGTCTTTACAGCTCTTCATCTCTTTGTTGTAGTGCAGCAATGGACAGTAGGTAAACAAATGGATGTGGTCATGTTCCCCCAAAAAAGCTTTTTATTAAAAACATAGCTAGCCAGGCACAGTAGCACACACCTGTAACCCTAGCGGATGGGGAGGCTGCGGCAGTAGGATAGAGAGTTCAAAGCCTGCCTCAGCAAGGCGCTAAGGAACTCTAAATAAAATAGAAAATAGGACTGGAGATGTGGTTCAATGGCCTAGTGTCTTTGACTTCAATTCCTCGTAACCCACCACCACCACCAAATTAGGCAGTCACTTGAACTTGATCCATGGGACAGGTTTACTGGTTTTACTTTCAAATAAATAATTCACTTTTATCCCCCAGTTTTTTATCATTGTTATAACTGCATTATTGTGTAGGAGAGACCAGCACCAGAAACTTTTCAGATATAGTAGCTTACATTTATCAAGCAGTGGTGAATTTTAAGCACTGTTCTTGAGGTATCTCATGTTATTCCCACAGGATATATCCCTGACGGCATTAATACTGCTGTCTCAGTTTACATATAAGCAAACTGAAGTGCTGAAGCAATTTGTTGAATATTATATAAGTAGTAAATGATGGGGAACTGTGAATTAAACTTAGGTGGTCTGATATCAGCCTACAGATTTTCAGCAGCTATACTATTTTACCTGTTACACAATGTGTAGAAAGTTATTCTGTTTTAGAAGAGATCAATGAGGTTTGTAAAACAGAAATTGCAATCCAGGTAGCCTAAAAGTAAAAGCCATACGCTACTTGTGAATAAGTCTGCAAATAACTTTCCATATTTACTTAACATCACAAATAGTGTATAAAGAAGGAAAAGAAAGAAGGAACAGGCAGACAACAGAAAATGCCAAGTTTTAAATTCTGTGGCTCAGTACTTTCTAGGCTTTGGCTGTCTTCTTGAGTGCGTGGAGAAAGTAAGGCACTGTCGAGGTGGTGATTTGTCAGAGAATGGTGGACTTTCAGTGGGACACAACATGGCAGAAGAGAACTGAAAGTGGTGAGGGCTCAAGATATAATAATAACTGGAAGAGAAATGTTCCAGCAAAATGGACTAGTTGCAGCTGAAAAGTCCCAGAGGAGAACATGTTGGAGAAATAGCAGAAAGGCTAGTGTGGCTTAAAACAGTAGGTAGAGAGCTTAAAATAGTAGGTATGGATGCCAGATCATGAAAGTCCTAGCCAGCCCAGAGATGTGAAATTGTTGGAGGTAATCAAGTATATTAGTGACCTGACTTATCTTTTTAGAGGGTTCGGAAATAGACAAAGTTAAGACTCTGTTCAAGTAATACAAGCAAGAAATGGTGGAAGCTTGTACACAGATAATACAGGGGCAAGAAGTGGTCAGATTTTCACCTTTATTTGGAAACTAGAGCTTATAAGAATTATGATAGATACGATGTAAACATATCAGAAAGAGAAGTAAAAAAATCTTCCAAGGATGTTTATCTGAAAGGATGATGTTTCCACTTACTAAGTTGGGGAAAACTGAAAGAGTAGATGAAGATAAAATCGGGAGTTCAAAACAAGAGGTAGGTATTGAAGTTAGACTCCTATTTAAAAGTAGGAGTTCAAGAACGAGGTTCAGGCTAGAGAAATTTTTGAAGCGTTTAGGTAGAGAGATGAATGAAGATGAACTAGCAAAGGAAACTTAAGTGATCCACGATGTATGAATAAATTCAAGAAAACTTGGCAGCCTGGAAACAGTCAGATATATTGGGTATATGATTTGTAATCATACAAGCAGAACTTCTTGGAGTCTCAGAAAACTGGTGGCTTTAAAATGGCATCTATGTCTTCCTATTTGGGTTTATTGAATTCTCTTTCCCTTGGTTTTCTCAGTTCAGTCTGTAATTAATCATATCATCATCTTGCTGTGTGTTATCTTGCCACTTCTGGTTTTGTAGCTACCAGTCTAATCCATGACTTCTTAGATTGTCTCTATTACGTAGCATTCTCCTGTTCAGGAACCTTAGCATCATGATACTGTATGTTCAGCATTTTCTATATAGCCTTCTATGTGCCTGTCACCTAATGTCTCCTATTCTCTAACAAACTCCATTCCATTACAGTGCTTTCTTTTTTGTTGAATATTCTCTACTAATAATTCTTTTCTAAATCTGACTTCTTCAGAAAACTTCTTTTTTAATTCACACTGGTTTTATTTCTTCTAATCATTTTAGCTTTGTTATATTTGTATGTGGCTTCTTCACATGAATATTAGATGTGCAATCAATAAGAATCTAAATTTTAAAAAAATATTTATCTTTTAGTTGTAGTTGGGCACAATACCTTTATTTATTTTTATGTGGTGCTAAGGATCGAACCCAGGGCCTCACACGCACTAGGCGAGTGCTGTACCACTGAGCCACAACCCATGCCCCAAGAATCTTAATTTTTAAACAGAAATTATCAATTAACTGGTGCGTACCAGAAAATAAATTAACATTAAGTAAAGCTTGTTTAATAGGATGAAAGATACGATCATTTGGATCCTGCTGAAATGGAAAAAGTTGAAAAATATATCAGCGATGCCATGATTTGGCTGAACACTAAGATGAATGCACAGAATAAATTAAGTCTCACTCAAGAACCTGTGGTTAAAGTTTCGGAAATTGTTGCAAAGTCTAAGGTAAGAAACAATTTTTTTTTTTTTTTTTTAGTTGTTAGACTTTTATTTTATCTCTTTATATGTGGTGCTGAGAAATGAACCCAGTGTATCACACATGCTAAGCAAGTGTTCCACTGCTGAGCCATAGCCCCAGCCTCAAATTCCCTTTTAATGATGAGTTCAAGGACTGAAATTGATTAATAAAATCATACTTCAAGAAATAATTTGTAGACAGGCATTGTGATGCATGCCTGTCATCAAACAGCTCAGGAGGCTGAGGCTGGAAGTTCTTAAAGTTATAAGCCAGCCTCAGCAACTTAGTGAGACACTGTCTCAAAAAAAAAAAATAAAAGAAGGTCTGGGAGTTTGGCTCAGTGGTTAAGTGCTCATGGGTTCCATCCTCAGTACCCAAAGAAAAAGATGCAGAAGAACTCAAAAATTAATTTAAGGCTAATCTCTTATTATGTTAAATTTGTTTTAAGTGATTCTAGGTATAGAATATCTGTTCTTTTTATTAATTTGTCACACAGGACTGGTGTTTAATTCAAGAGTAAAACAGTGAAATAAAGCAGTATGATGATTTTTGACAGCTGTAAATTCAAACTCAGAGATTCGACAAGACCTCTGAGTCTTCATTGCAGTATAGGTATCTTGGACCCGGTTTGAAATTTGTGAATTCTGTGGTAAAATCTTGTTTTCAAAAGCTTGATCCTGAGATAAGCTAGGCAGATTAAATGTCAAAAGTTATCATGGAGGAGCTGGGGATGTGGCTCAAGCGGTAGCACGCTTGCCTGGCATGCACGGGGCGCTGGGTTCAATCCTCAGCACCACATAAAACTAAAATAAAGATGTTGTGTCCACCAAAAACTAATATTAAAAAAAAAGTTATCATGGAAAACTTTATAAAATAAATCAGCATCAAATAGAAAAATTAGTAAAAGGCTTGTTGCATTAGCAGTTGAGAAAAGAATAAACAAAAACATAGGAAATAGAATTCATCCTTACAATTAATCTAAAAGTTCCAAATCTTTTTTATATATTTATATATATATATATAAATATATATATTTTTTATATATATAAATAAAATTGTGTGTGGGGGGGTGGTGGTGGTTCCTGGGATTGAACCCAGGGCCTTGTGTGTGGGTGGCAAGCACTTTACCAGCTGAGCTATATCCCCAGCCCCTTGTTGTTTTTTTTTTTTTTTTTTTTTTTAAAATTAGTCAACTTTCTTCAGAAACATCAGTTAAGTATAGGTTCACTCTTTTTTTTTTTTTTACAATCTTTGCAAGAGTTGGCAAGGATGTAGAGAGATGGATGATTTCCCCTGAGCAGTTAAATTTGTTAGAACTTTCCTGGGACACTGTCAGAAAATTTATATAGGAATTTAACCTGTATATAATTTAACATATCTAGAAATGACAATTCTAGGAACTGCTACATAAATAAATGGATGCATCTATATAACACTATGTAGCCATTGAACATAATGGTTTAGATGCAGAGATGTATCTATTTAGATATAATTTCAAGATATTGTCAAATAAAGAAGAAGACTTTTTTAGAGTACTATGAGTAGTTTGTTACTAAAACATTCTAAGATTTTACTTTCTTGGTATCTCTGCACCAATCTCTTTGACAATAGTCTTTCTGATTTTCCAATTTGATTAGTCTTACGTAATAATTTTTTAAAATATGACATATAAAAAGCAGATAGAAGACACCTTGTATTCATTTAAATAATTAATGTTCAGTTTACTTTTATGGCTTTTTTCTTCACCTATTTCCAAAAAATAGTGTTGTTAGTATGTGTATTTATGTCCATTATTTAAAAGTTATTCCTACCAAAGTAAATGGTATTTAAATTATGAAATAAGTTTTAGAAAGGTTAGATACAAAAATATTTTGTGAGGTCTGGTAGCACATGCCTGTAATTCCAGGGATGTAGGAGGCTGCTGACACAGGAGGTCCTTAAGTTCAAAGCCAGCTTCAGCAACTTAGTGAGGCACCCTGAGCAACTTAGTGAAACCCTGTTTCAAAATAAAAAGGGATGGGGATGTAGCTCAGTGGTTAAGTGCCTTTGAGTTCAATCCCTAGTACCAAATTTATATAAAAACCATTTTAGAGTTTGATTGCCGCAAACATTCACTAGTCAGAAGGTAAATCATTCATGAAGCTGTTGAAATAATGGTATTGTGGCTGAGCTTATAAATTTAGGAATTTAAAATTTTGTGAAAGTTTAGAAAAATTATAGAATTTTGAAAGTTAATAGTAACTTAGTATTTTAAATATTTTTTCTCGTCTTTAGGAGCTAGATAATTTCTGTAACCCCATCATTTACAAACCCAAACCAAAAGTAGAAGTGGCTGAAGACAAAACAAAAGCTAATAGTGAACATAACGGACCAATGGATGGACAGAGTGGAACGGAAACTAAACCAGATGCAACAAAAGACAGCACACAGCATACTAAATCATCTGGGGAGATGGAAGTGGACTAAGTCTTAATTTTACCTTCATATAATTCAAATAGCAAATAGTGCAAGTAACCACAGGGTCCATTCATCTTTTACATCTGGCACACAAAACAGATAGATGTTCCATTGTTCTTAACTACTTTGTCATTTGTTTTTTGAAGTAGTTTTGCAAAGTGAGTGCACCTATCATTTCATTACTGCTTATGTGAAGCTTCAGCTGAATATAGATGTACAAGTCAGTTTTAGCTTTCCTGATGTAGTTTATATCAAACATGCAGAATTGGTATGTAATTGGCAATAGTCTACCTAAACCTCACTTTCTTTATTCAGGAAAGGATACCGTATTGCACTATTGTTGCAGAAGCATAGATTTAACTGCATTGTAATTTCGAAAAGCAAAAGTTGATGTGGTTTAAAGCCACTGAGGGTACGGGCCTTTTTCTAGTTATTGTATTGTTATAATTTAAATATTAAAACAAATAAGAGGTTTCTGAACAAATTAGTCCATCTCATTGGTATTCCACAAGAACTCAGTTTTGTTGTCATCACATAAATGAACTAAGTCACATGTGGAAAGAGAAAATGCACAATTTTATGTTAAACTGACACCAGCAGTTTGCCTCTTTAGTTAGTAATGTGCATTGATGTTTTCTTAGAATCTCTTCTTTCACTTGAAACTGTTGATTTACTTGTCCTGAAGATGAGCTGCTGCTGAAATAATGCTAGCTTAAAAGAGAAGCCTTTTTGATGAAATTACATTATGGGGAAAATGCTGTTGACCTACTCAGACATGCATCTGTGATGTTGGTACCTCATTTCAGTTTTAATAGTTGTGTTGGTTTTCTTAATTGATTTTGTTCATATCTTAACACAGTGTAGGGAGAAATGGCACAATGCATTGCACAATATTATCATTGATTTACTGAATGTTACAATATAAACACTATTAAATAAGCAGTAATACTGAAAAGGAGCACTTATACCATAAGACTTAGGAAATAATGGTTGTAATAAACTTAACTGTGTTACATATCAATAGGCAAAATATATAATGTTACATAGTGTGATATGATGTGATTAAATTATAGTTCCTGCTGTTGAATTAACTTTTGAAACCTTGGCTCCAGTTTTGGTGCTTCTTAATTAAATGGGAGAAGGGACAGTAAATTTAGTATCATCACCAGATTTGTTCACATCATTCAATTCTGTCCAGGGTCTTCAAACTGTCTATGGAAAAAGACTGAAGTAATATGTCAACCTACAAGGGAAAGCACAGATAAATGCATGGGCCTTTGTGTTCTTAATGCCAGTCAACTAGATTAACTTACATTGATATTTTGAAAGACTAATTTTATCCCAAATCTAAGTTAAATATATCCCAAAATTAATGTTTGTAGTAGTAACAGAAATGGTATTAAGTTAGTAAAAATCGAGAGTATAATATCTTTAGGGATAGTCATTATTTCTCAGAACTAGTTCTCTAAGATAGAGATTTTGTTTCTACAATGTAGTTTCCATGGAAAGAGTACATACAGAGTAGTACATCTTGCAGATTTTTAAATCCTGCCTGTTTGCAGGAAAAAGTCCTCTTTTTTGCATTAAGCCATACTGTCTCAATATAGTTTTTAATATCTGCATTTTTCTTTTTAATACTTTTAAAATTAAATGGTATCTTAAAGTGATGAAATATATTTTTAAAGCACGTATCAGTTGCTTTTCATTTGTATGGAAATATATACATTCATTTCAAAAAAGCATGATTATAAAAGGGGATATATAACAGTACAAAAGATGAATAATTATTAATGTGTTTTGAGAATGGTTTTGAACAGTGTACAGTTCACTCTAATTTAGTCTGAATTGCAGTATGCAATAATCATAAAAGATTTTTTTCAAACTAAAAATCTCTTAGAAGTTACTTTGATGCATAGCAAAACAATGTTATCTCATGTAGTAAGCAAATAATATGCAGGGAAATAAAGGTATAGATTACCTTATAGTACAAATTTTTTTGTCTTTCAGAAACCAGCTCTTAATATAGGCAAGTTGTACCATGATTATAAAATTGAAGGTGGTTGTAGAAATTACAAACTTTGTGATATTTTTACTTCATTAGTGATAGACTTTTTAATTTATTAAAAAACACCCCAAAAATGCTATTGAGCTATTGGAATAACAGATCCTAGTTTTTAAATTGTAATAAGTGATCTACAAAAAGCAAGAGGAGTGTTGTATATACCAAATAAACATTTTAAAAATAAAAAATAAACACAAGAGAAGCCGGGGCATGGTGGCACATGGCCTGTAATCCCAGCAGCTTGGGAGGTTGAGGCAGGAGGATTGTGACTTCAAAGCCACTCTCGGCAACTTAGACCCTGTCTCTAAACACAGTATAAAAATGGGATGGAGATGTGGCTCTATTTAAGTATCCCTGGTTTCAATCCCCAGGACCAAAACCAAAAAACAAACTGAAGATTCTTAGATTTTGGGGTGAGGGTAGAGGCCATTTTTAGTATTATGGTTATTTCCTTGATGCCTTTAAAGTGAATTAGGGAGCTCAGTAATCATCGTGACAGGGTCAAGAATTTTATCAAAATGAACACGTTTTAATTTTTGCAAAATCCATATGAAAGGCATTGAATTTAGCTAATTTTGACCCAAAGTAGATAGAACCATCCCTCAATTTTTATAAATTTGAAATGTAATGATAAAATGTTTTAAATAGAATTTGGTAGTCCACAATTAAAGCCTTTCCACTGATTTTACCTATTATAAGGCTGAGGTATAACTCAGTGGTAGAGCACTTCCCTTGCACAAAACCCTTGACATCTCCAGCACAGCAAAGAAAAAACGTACACAGGGCAGATCTCATTGTGATGTACTTTTCTATTATTGATTTGATTCTATTTTGCAGTTACTAGCCTATAATTTTGAAATTTTCCTTTGCTTTGCAGTGCTGGAGATAACCCAGAGCCTTCCATGTGCTAGACACAAGTGTTCACTACTGAGCTACATACCCAGCCCCTTCATAGAAGATTTAGAAATGATTCTAATTTTTGCAGGGGATTGGAATCCATGGGTGCTATACCACTGAGCTACATCCCTTACTCACAAACTTTGTTGAGTCTGGCTAAAAGTTGCCGGAACTTGTGATCCTCCTGCCTTTGCCTCCTGAGTCACTGGGATTATAGGTGTGAAGCCAGGGCACCCCATTTAGAAGTCATTCTCAAATGATAAGAAAAAAATAGTTTTCTTGGTTTTTAGAGTTTTAGATAAAAAGTTCATTTGTATAATAAATGTTATTTTGTGGTTAAGCAAGGCCCCTGGGTTTCAACCCCAGCAATGAAAGAAAGGGAAATCTTTCCTTTTTTTTCTTTAAAGGAAATTTTTGAAGTAGAATTCAGCTTTGTAAAAAATGAATGACATAGGTAATTGTTGTGCTATATCAATAATTATTTGAAATCTTGTGGCATTAATTAAAAGTAAGCCACTGAGTTTTCAAGTAAAAAGAGACAGGTTTATAAAGTTTAGTTCTATTAACAATATTAATAAAGATCAGTTTATTCAGCAAACTAATCTTATTAAATCAGTACATTGCAGAAGATGGACTTTTTGACTAAAAAATACCAAATTAAACATTTCTCTTTTCCTTTGTTGTTAGACCTTTATTTTATTTATTTGTATGTGGTGCTGAGAATCGAACCCAGTACTTCACCCATATGAGGCAAGCACTCTTCCACTGAGCCATAACTCCAGCCCCTCTTTGTTTTTTATCAAAGTATGATTTTATCCAAGATTTTGAAATAATTCCCAGGAAGCGTATTGATTTTCTTTTCACTAAAAAGTAAGGTTAATTTAACTTGAAGACCATCACTGTAAATAAAACGAGAAATTTCACCCATTTAACGATTATTTGTTTTAAAATGCCCTAAAATCAATATTCTTTTATATACTGAGTCCTAACAAAATAGTTTTTAATTCATAATACTGCTAATGTATGTCTGTCTATACATTTTAGATATATATAAATTAGGGGAACGAAATGTATAGACATTCATTAAATAGAAGAGTACTTGAAATTTTAAGAATGTTAAAAAACTGCTAAAGAAGAAAACCTAAATGTCTATGGAAGTGGTCAATACTGACAGGTGGTTAATAGCTTTTTCATCTTCTGGATCCCTATGAATACTTCCAGCATAATGTTAGAATGAATATTAAAAGAAAAAACAGGATTTGTCAAAACACGCTAAAAAACTTGGAGCTATCAAAGTAAAGCTAATTAATCATGAAGATTTGATTGAATCTGTAAGGCAGTCAAAGTCCATACCAAAAAAATTAAAATATGATCTTTACTCTGGATTCTGCAACTTACGTCCTGTCCTAAGTCACAGGATGACTATTTAGAAAATCTTTTGATACCTATAAGATCAAATGAAATTCAGCATGTTAAGATTAGTCACCTGATATGTAAACTAAGATATAAATTCTTAATTTTTATTGTTTCCTTGTCTTATTCCCTTGTCCAGTTCTAGACTCATTTTACATATAACAGTTCTGTTTTTCTTAGGTATACTTTTGTTCTTCTGGATTATCCTTTACATCTTTTATGGCATTTAAAAATTTAGGATTTTATCGAAATTAGCATGTTTCACTGAATAATTTTGATAAGTTAATTTTAGTACTCTTGTTTCCCTGAATAGTCATTTTAAGAATTTTTGGATTCTAAATTTGATAATCCATGTTATAAACTTCTATATATAATGCCTCAAATTTAGCAGCGGTATCTTTCATATTATATAGATTTTTTTCATCTCAAATTTAGTTGCATTTTTCATTTTCATAGTCATATAGATGTTTCATATTCTTGCCTTAGCATGTTTTTAAATAGTTCTGGACCAAAAGAAGTCAGTATTTTGAGTGTATTTTAAATAACCAACATCTCTCTCCTTTATAATCCTTGATGTGACAAATGACAAAACAAGTCTGAAATTGAGTAGACACCTTCCATTCTTTGCTGCTTTTATTAAATGCATGTGCTTTTTTTTTTTTTTTAAGTATTTTGCTTTGTATGATTTGAGTTAAAATGCTCTTAAAATAATATGAACCCATTTAGGATGCAGATGTTAAATGTCATTAGAAACGAAAATAAGAGGGCTGGGGGCATGACTCAGTGACAGAGTACTTACCTTAAAGGTCCTGGGTTCAAACCTCAGGAAAACAAACAGACGCTTAACAAAAAGGAAAAGTGTTGTTATATTCCCTGAAGTCAATTTTTTATGGATTGGTGTCTTGGAAGGACAGTCATTACAAGTGGCTAACTTTTACTTTTGGTAAAAAGAAGCCACTATTGTTTAATATCACAATATAAACAATTTTCATGAAGTTAATGGTTAAGTATTCAAAACATGGCATCCAACTCATTTTTTCTTTTCTCCACCCATTATTAAAATGATTTATATACAGAATGATTCTGACTCCAGTCATTACTGTAAGATACTTTAAACAGTTTAGTTTCTATTAGCTAATAATGCCTTTTTAAATGAGAACTCCATCACATTTGATTTAATTTCTGTCTTCTATACAAGCAGAAAATTATAATCACTAACACCTCTATAAAGTAGTGGAGTTTTACATGTGATAGACCCTTTAACAGATATTCAGACCACAGCAATTCATTGCCATCTCCACCATTATGGTCAAAATTTTTCATTTCTGGTTTTTGCTTAAAAGCCTGATTCTCATCATTGGACACAAATATAATTGTTCTCATTTCATGTCTTCCAAATATGCAAATCTAAGTAGTTTGTCCAGCAGATGTTCATTCAGTAAATGTAGTGCTAACAAAGTAAACAAAGATTGGTATGCAGCAATTCTTTGTATGAACTTCACATTTTGTCAAATAGAATATTAAAATTGACATGTCTTAAAGGATCAAGATTTACAGTTTGGTGCCATAGCTGTGAATCATACTGAGACCCCAGAAAATTTCCATTGTTAACAGTTTTGTTTTTGTACCATCAGTGCAAATGTCGAAAATTGGCATGATTGGTTTTTGTGGATACCTGAAAGGATCTTAGTGACCCTTAATATGTCCACAGGCCATCAATGAAAACCACTGCTGTATAGTAGTAAAAGAGAATGTAATTTATAAGGAAAATGAAATCAAAATGTCAAGAAAAGGTATCTTAACCCGTGGAAAATAAAAAGCATTTCATAAGGTATTCTGAAACTAATAAATTATAAATGAATGCACTAAGTATTTTCAACATTGATGAATAGAGGTTTCTAGCACCCCCACTCCCCACCCCCCATTCACAAGGCTGCTAAGGGATGTGTGCATTGGGCACTGTAAGGTAGGTAAATATGGGGGAACACGGGAAACCAGCCCAGAGATGGACTGGAACCTTATAAAAGATTCTGAGACGGGAGAATGAATTGCCCTGGCATCTTACACCCTGACTTCACAGCTGGAGGAGGGGGAATTTCTCCAAGGAAGGGACAAGTAGAGTCCCACCAAACTTGCTTATGTGAGGGACATGCAATCTGTAAAGTAGCTTTGCTTTGAAACAGGATTTCACCTCACCTTCCAGTGTATCCACACTAGCCAGGAACCACTGAAGGAATTACAAGAGAAAGAATTTCAGTGTGCAAAAAAAGCAAAAGTCATAAGGGCAGCTCCCTTACATTAAAAGAGCATTTAACTACAGAAACCCTATATGTCAGGAGGGAGTGAAATAATCCAAGGTGCAAAACAACTTAGACCCTGTCTCTAAAATACAAAATGGGGCTGGGGATGTTTCTCAGTGGTTGAGTGCCCCCCCCCCAAAAAAATTAAAAGTAGTGGTCATCCACAATTTCCAAACCAGCAAAAACTATCCTTAAGAAACAAATGAAGATTTTTCCAAGAAAACCGGACCAAACTTGAAAAGGGAATCCTAGGTCCAGAATTGAAAGGTAAATACCATTATGATAGCTTATGAAAGTATAAAGCCCATTAAAAGAGTCAATATACAGAACATTGAAAATAACCAGAAGAAAATCATCAAAATGAAAAGAATAAACCTTAACTTTCAATAATCTTGAATGTAAATCATTTCTCCAATTAAAGAACAGCTTTTTAAATAAAACAATATGCTTCCTACATGAGGACTGAAAAGGGGAATTGATACTAGCAAATGGACACCTAACCTGAACATGCTTTCACCTGATAAGACAAGGTTAAGATAATTATAAATTTGTTTCCTTCGGAGGTTAATATCAATTCATTTCACAGCACCCAGTTTATTATAAACTTTTTCTAAAACAGACTTAAAGGATGAGATGGGCTCAAATACAATGGTATTTCACTCATCAATAGTCCTGACAAAAAAACAATGCAACATCAAAGTTAAACACTGCTATTCAGCAAATGGACCTATAAGGTACTTGTAGTACATTAAATAGCTCACAGAACTTCCCCTAGGATAGAATATATAATAGGTCATAGAAAGTTTTAAACCTAGTGCCTTCACTTGCTAAAAAAGGCGCTTTAGTATTTGAAAATATGAAATATTTATCTGATTTGCTTATAATGGAGTAAAACTAGAAATCAACAAAAGAAACTTGGACATTATAAAGTATATGGAGACTACACATACACTTTGGAACCATTTTAAAATGCCTTAAAATTGACCAGGCATGTGGCACACATGCTGTAATTTCAGCAGCTCCAGAGGCTGAAACAAGAGGATTCCAGTTCAAAGCCAGCAAAAGCTAAGCAATAAGCAGCTCAGGAAGACCCTGTCTCAAAATACAAAATAGGGTGGGGATGTGGCTCAGTGGGCTGGTGAGTTCAATCCCTAGTACTAGAAGAAAATTCCTTAAAACCAAAGAAAATGCAAATAAACACACCAAAACCTGTAGAATACTGGAAAATAGGAGATATATAGCAATGAGTACCTATATCAAAATAGATTTCAAATAAACAACCTAAGCATGTGTCCCAAATACTTAGAACCAAACCCCAAAGGAAAGACCAAATCAGGAAGTAATAGGCTAAAAAAACTTATCAATGAAACTGTCTTAGAAAAGATGAACAAAACATAGACCTATTAAGCTGCAGTTAAAATAGTACAACACTGGGACAGGCATGAAACAGAACTGAATATAAATTGTGATATTACAATCAGACATGAATAACAATCTAATCATAAGAAAACATCAGGTAAACCCCAATTAGGGAATGCTATATAATTAGCCTTCACAACACACACACATGGAAACTGACAATAGATGTTTTAGTTGTAATCATTTCACAATGTGTATAAAATCACACAAAACTGGAGTAATATAAATTTTATTTGTAAATTATAACAATTATGGAGTGACAAGAGAAACATCTCAATGTTATAAGAAATCCATGTTAAAGAGGCTAAAGACATGGCAACTTTTATGCAATGTGTACTAAACTGTAATAGACGAAAAACTGCCTAAAACACATTATTGGAATGATTGACATCAGAACATAATCAGTGTCAAACATCTTTATTTTAAAAAAAAAGATCCTTGTTCTTTAGTAATTCACACAGAAATTTTAAATATTTCATAAATATAAATAGTAGGCTTGCAGTAAAGAGAATGTTAAATGGGTCAAAATGTTAAGAATTGATGAATCTGGGCTGGGGCTGGGGCTCTAATACTAAAGTGCCTTTTTTAGCAAGTGTAAGGCACTAGGTGCTATCCTAAAACTAAAGGTATTTTTTTCATCTTCAACTATTTTTTAAAAATTGATGTATCTAGCCAGGCATAATGGAGCATGCCTGTAATCCCAGCAGCTCAGAAAGCTGAGGGAGGAGGATCATGCCAGCCTCATCAACAGGGAGGTAATAAGCAACTCAGTGAGACCCTGTATCTAAATTTAAAAAAAAAAGGGGGGGGGAATCTGAATAAGACAATTCAGGAATTCTATATAACAACTTTCTTGTAAGATTAAAATTATTTCTAAAAAAAATGCTTTGCAGGAACTTCTGCCAAGTCAATAGCAAAAGCAAGTCTGGGTTCTTGGGAACTCAAAGAGAATTGCTCCAGAATTATAATGCATGGCGGCTGGGGTTACATCTCAGCCTTGCACATGTGAGCCAAAGGGTTCGATCCTCAGCACCACATATAAATAAATAAATAAATGTATTATGTCTACCTTTAAAAACCTTAAAAAAAAAAAAGAATTATAACAAGGACTGCCAGAAATGGAGGGGGAAAGCTGATTTTTCTCTGAACAGAGATTTTTTCTTATAGCTTCTGTATAGACAAACTTGAGTTATTCATTAATGTAGAAGTCAGCTCTCTGCCAGACCCACGCAGCATCAACAAAAGACCTCAAGTAGGGGTGATGGGAGATGGAGAAAAACAAAAACAGAGACATTCTGAAGTAAAGCTGGGACTAGATGGGACACTGGGACACTCTGATGGGGAAACAGTGACCCAGAACTAGCTTTGCAAGTTTATTATAAAGGGTCTCATAATTAGGAAGTTTAACTAGAGGGGCAATGTAAATTGTTCAAGTCTTGTGAGTTACCAAGAGTCTTCTCTGCACACTAAAAAGTTACAGAAGTAGAACTATTTCTGCAGTTACCCTACTTTTGCAATGCTAGGAACATCCTGCTGCATCCTTGCCTTTTTGGCAAGGAATGTTTCCCAGACTTGACTTCTGCCAACACCACAGGATCAGCTGACATCAACCAGGGGCTCATCTGCTCTCCACATCTCCACCTTATTTTTTAACTGTAATCGATGCATGTCTACTTGGAGGTATTGGAACTGGGATTTGACGAGACTGGATTTGAGGAGACTGCATTTGACTGTGAGAAAATAATACAAAATTAAAAATAAAGAAACAAGCCCTATAGGATACCATGTAGTATGTTTTAGCATATTCCAAGGATTGAAACCATTTAAGTCATTAACAGTTTTGATTTTTTTTTGCCAAATCGGCAGGAGATAACATAGGAATCTTGCTTTTTTGCCTGACTTGGATCTAACGGTGTAGGTGTAAAAGATATAAACTAACACTTATGATTTCAAATTGCTAATAGATGTATTTTTATTTTTTCTAACCCCACTGGGAATTAACATGTAAAACAGGTATTACATAAATAAATTGATAAGCAACATGGCACTATAATTGTCCTCTGACCTTAAAACTATGTGATCACCTAAGTTTATTACACTAGGTTTTAAAGCATTTAACTTAGCTTTAAGTTTATTACCAGTATTCTCCTGATCTTACAGGGTTTTTTTTTTTTTTTTTTAAGAGAGAGAGAGAGAGAGAGAGAGAGAGAGAGAAGTTTTAATATTTATTTTTTAGTTTTCGGCGGACACAACATCTTTGTTTGTATGTGGTGCTGAGGATCGAACCCAGGCCGCACGCATGCCAGGCGAGCGCGCTACCGCTTGAGCCACATCCCCAGCCCCTCTTACAGGGTTCTTAATGTATTTTGTGTCAAGCATTGACAAAATGAGTTGTTTGGATATCCTGTACCAGAATGTCAGAGGCAGTGATTGTAGAAACAATCACAATATAATTAAAGTAACAATACCAAAGACTATAAGTCCCATAGCACAGATGATTGAATCAGCTGATTATGAAGTTCTTGATAACTTATAGCCCTGTTATCTTTTGGGGGGGGCAGTGGTGGTGGTAAACCAGGAATTGAACTCAGGGGCACTTGACCACTGAGCCAATCCCCAGCCCAATTTTGCATTTTATTTAGAGACAGGGTCTCTCTGAGTTGCCAAGTGCTTCATTTTTGCTAAAGCTGGCTTTGAACTTGTGATCTTCCTGCCTCAGCCTCCCAAACCACCGGGCTTAAAGGTGTGCACCACTATGCCCACCTAGCCCTATTATCTTAATACCAGTCATCTGTGATGCTGTTGGAAAGCATAAGAAAGGAAGGCTAGTATAAAACCAAAATACCTTGATTTTTGTTATATTAGTCACACAATTAGTAAGATTACAGTTAGTACTCGTTACAAAATGGTGATCACTGCCCATTTTTGTGATATTAGTATTTCCTGTTAATAATGCATAAAGAGACTGAACACACAACCACAAACCATAAAATGAGCTGGCGGTACAATCACTGGTTAGATGTGAAAGCAACTGACTAGTAAAATTAACAAAATCTAAAATAGCAGCTAGATGCCATGAATAATTCTGAATGCCTCCTGATCTTGAGGTCAGATTTTACTAACAAACCCTACAGGGGTCATGAGTTCATTATGAGAATGTTCCAAATCAAACTTATGTGGACATATGACTTGGACTGCAAATGTCATACAGGAACTAAATTAGCACAATCTCGCCACTGAGGAAAAGTTCCCAGTTCTGACGTGCTGGAATTTGGGCAATAAGGGAACAGAGGGTGTTGACAGAGTTCTTATTTAGGAAAATCTATTTTGATAATAGTTTGTATATATTTTTTCAAATCCTAAAGAAGGACTGGAAACTGGCAACACAAGTACCACCATAGGATTCCTGGGACATAGGGGCCTCAGCAGTATACCCAGAATAAGAAAATTAAAGTAATAAGAGGGAACAATATGAAAATCAGATTGACAACTCCCCATGGCAGATTAATTTGTAAACACTGGAACAGATCCTCCAGCCCAGGTAGTGGGATTAATTAATGGAGGATCCGGAAAATATGTCCAATAAGTTTCTCGTTATGATACATACCTGACAACTTAGAACAGCCAGCATTGCCATAAACATGGTAGCTGGTGTCTCAGGGACCCCCTGCTTCTCAATCACTCCCTGAGCTTTGCTTGCCAAGTTCTGGATCTGACTCCACGTCGGGGGATTTGCGCGTAGTGTGCTTTTTGTTGCTCCTTCCTTTTTCTTGCCTCCTTTGCTTGGCTGAATGTTTAAAGGTAGCTGTTGTGTCGGTACCATTATTGATGGTGTGATCTTCAGTCTTTTGGATTCGGGTTCGTGTTCAGTTTTTGGATCCATGTTGATGACTCCTCTCTCAGATACCCAATCGGCTTCTCAGCACCTTCTGGAAAGATACAGTCATAACCTCTTCCCATCATTACTGGATCCGGCCCATTCTATTTTCCTGATGGTAAATCTTTCTACCATACCATTCCTGCTGAACAAGCTGAACCAGAGACTTGGTATCTCTCAGCTGCAGTGCAGCCCTTCTCATTACAATATAAGAAATTCAAAATAAAAAGAGCATGATGCAATTGATTCTGTGGAGATGGATAATACCTATCTCCCCCTTTTTGTTTCTGAAGTTGAATTTCTAACATTCTGTTGGCACATTCTACTATTCCTGGTCCTTGAGTATTCTATGGGATTCGTGTCTTATGAATAATATAAGAAACACAAAAGCACTGAAAAGAACTGGCATAAGCTGGACCATTATCAGTTTCAAATTCCTGAGGTTTGCCCAAAATCAGCCAATAACTAATGACCATTACCACTTTCTCCTATTTGTGCTGTAGCAAAAATAATAGGTGTCAATAGACACATGTACCTACTGTTGTCTTCCACACTCTTGTACATGCAGAACTTCCATCTGTCAAATGTGATTTGGCTTAAGGCCCCGAGCATTTATCCCAGTTAATAAGACTGGGGGGTGAATAATACATTGAGGGTATTGTTTAGCTGTGGTCCAAGACTGCTCCCTAATGAGGTGAAATTCTTTGTGCAAACTGGAAGCATTTTGGTGATGTAGGGCATGTGATGCCTGAGAGAGGAATAAGGTGATACACATTCTACTGATGCAACAAGATGATCTATAACATTGTTTCCTTCTACAGAAGGTCCTGCAAGACCGAATGAGCTCAACTATGTCCAATAAAAAAAAAAGCTAACAACATTGTTGCATAGAGTTTTGTAAAGATTTAAAAAGCTAAAATAATACCTCAGATAATATGCCCAATAGTGGCTGTTTCAATTACCTGAGTTGCCCCCACTGCATAAGGACTGTCACTGTAAATATTTATAGATTCTGATGAAAAGGGTTGTAAGGCAAAAATTTTAATCTGGCCTCCCTGAGCTGGACCCATTAGTAAAAACCATTAGAGCCTGAGAAATTGGTTTAGTGCAAACAATTTTAGGGAAAACAAAAGTTGTTATAGAAGTTTTATCAAAGTGTAATAGCTATCAATTTGGCCAGAAAAATTAGCAAGTGTAATCCGTCAACTTGCAGAATTTTGTCAAAGCCAATCTTGTTGTGCAGTAGTAAAACGAACTATAATAAGGGAATGCTCTAGCCCCAAGAGTTGCTGTACTCATTGAATTTTTTAAATTAACTGAGCAACTAATCATGAAAATGGCATTAAGGATTTAGAAGAATGTTGCAGGTGAAGCCATTTTATAATTTTTGTTTCCTGCCAAAGAATTCCTGTAGGGATATGAGTAGCAGGAAAAGTCAGTACTTGAATAGATCTATTTAGATTGACCATAGTAAGCTGGGCTGCTTGAAGAGCAGAGTCTTCGTGAGTCAGTGCAGTTTTAGCTTCTGAAGTCGGTTATTGAGGAGACAGAGGTGGATCTCCTTTGAAGATAGTGAACTAACTTTGATGTAGTTAACTTTAAAGAGGGACGTAATCAATCAATGTCACTCAGAAGTTTTTGGAAGTCATTAAGAGTTCATAAGGTGTCTATTCTAATTTGAAGTTACCAAGAGGCTTCTTTGAGGGCTGGGGAGTTGGTAGAGTGCCTGCCTCACATGCACAAGGCCTTGGGTTCAATCCCCAACACAACCAAAAAAAAAGGTTTCTTTGTGCACTAAAAAGTTTCAAAACTAGAAGCATTTTTGTAGCTATCCTACTGTTTAATTTTAATTTCAAAACCTCAGTATCAAGTGTGAGGAATACCCTGCTGCACCCAGGAAACCCACTGTCCTGGAATGTCCCTGTTAGCATCAGAGCTGAGGGTCAAGATTATTAATATCTTTGCCTTTTTGGCGAAAAATGTTTCATGGGATTGGCTTTGGATGATCCCGCAGGATCAGTGGAGACCCGGGGCTCATCCACTCTCCACAGCTTTCAATTTAGAAATAGACAGAAATTTGTGCAATTATTTTAGAACCTTCCTGAAAAAAACCACAATTGTCTTATCTGCAAACAGTGCATCAACCCTACCCTGGAGAGGTTTCTTTTAAATATTCCACAATAAACTATTATGATAGAATTCTTCAAGCAAGCACCAGTTGCCAACTATTTCCTCTCAAATAGAGACAAAATGGAAGGCAAGCTGAGAGGTAAGGCACTGGCAGCTTTTGAGACAAGGGTTACTTCAGCCCCTAAGAAAAAAATCCACTACTTCTTATCATCTGCATCTGTCTTAACCCTGTCATGACATTTAGGCAAAAGAACAGAACCTGCTGGGCCTGGTGGCACACACCTGGGATCACCCAGGAGCTGGGAAGACTTGAGGCTGGAAGATTTCAAGTTCAACAACAGCCCCAATAACTCAACAAGGTCCAAGGCAACTTAGTGAGACCCTGTCTCAAAATAAAAAAGGGCTGGACGTGTGGCTCGGTAGTCACGCCTCTCCAGATTCAATCCCTGGTACTCCCCCGAATTCCAGAACTCAGGCCTGACCAACCTCCCTGAGAACGCAGTCCATTTTCCCATTTGACTTAACCTGTGGTCAGCCCAGCACCCCGGCAGGGTCAGTGCACGGAGGACGACGACCTTTGTTCTCTGCCTTCAACGTGGATTTCTTCAGCACCCTTCAAGGCAACTGGAACCTGCGTTCCCGGGCCTAGGTCACTCCTGTCTGGCTCGGAATGAACTGCCGTGTGGTTTCCCCGAACACAGAAGTCGTGTCCTTCCCTCGAGTGCCTTTTCTAAAGTAGCATGCCAATTAACCTGCCACGAGACACTTCTGCCGTCAGCCGGGGAGGTCTGAGATCTTCCTTAATCAAGGCGATGATCTTTTCCCTGAGATTTTAAAATGGTTTCTGTTGTTTTCGTTTCGTTGTAAGGTGCTGGGGAAAAAAACAAGGCCTCGCACGTGCAGGGAGACTTCTCAACGAACCACACCAGCGCCCTCGCGGCAGTTTGGAGCCCTCCCTGGACGCGGCAGTGCTCTTCCAGAGGTGAAGCTGCGGACTTACCAGCAGTAAACCTCGCGTCTCTAAGGCCTGCGGCTCTACGGGTCTCACTTGGGTTCTCAACGGGCTGGACGGCAGCGCACTCGACAGCCAGTCGCGACAGCCTGCGCTTCCGGCGCTCGGCTCTGGTACCGGAAGCTGCGGCGAGCGCGAAGGAGAGCCTGTCGCGCACGCGTGAGTGAAATGCCTGTCGCGCATGCGCGCCAGCCTGTCTCTGCGGAGCGACGTCTCCTGACGTCACCACCAGTCTCGCTTCAACAGCAACCGGCGGGAGTTTTTCAAAATGGGAGTGCAGAGGCACCGCCCAAGCCTCGGATGGTGTCGAGGAATTCCTACGGTGGCTGTAGCGTCGTCGCCCGGAGCGGCGGCCTAGAAGGCAGAGCCTGATGGGCACCACGACCGGCTGGCTGCCTGGAGCTCCACCTCGAAGGGACTGTGAAAAGGGACCTGACCCGGGGAGCGCCGGCCCGGGCCTGAGAATATGGCGTCTTGCATCGGCGAGAAGATCGAGGTGAAGGGAGTGGCGGG